ACAGGAAACTTGGAAATGGCAGAGATGCTTAATGACTTCTTTGTTTCGGTCTTCACCGAGAAGTCTGATGAAGGAATGCCTGACATAGTTAATGCCAGTGGGAAGGAATTAGGTTTACAAGATAAAATAAAAAAGAACAAGTTAAACATCACTTAGAAAAATTAGATGTTTGCAGGTCACCAGGGCCTGATGAAATGCATCCTAGAATATTCAAGGAGCTAATAGAGGAGATATCTAAGCCTTTAGCTATCATCTTGGAAAATCATGGAAGAGAGCAGAGATTCCAGAAAACTGGAAAAAAGGGCAAATATAGTGCCCATCTATACAAAGGGAAATAAGAACAACCCAGGAAACTACAGACCAGTCAGTTTAACTTCTGTGCCAGGAAAGATAATGGAGCAAGTAATTAAGGAAATCATCTGCAAACTTGTAAACAACAAATCATGTCAAACCAATCTGATAGCTTTCTTTGATAGGATAACGAGTCTTGTGGATAAGGGAGAAGCGGTGGCTGTGGTATGCCTAGACTTTAGTAAGGCATTTGATACGGTCTCGCGTGATATTCTTATCAATAAACTAGGTAAATACAACTTAGATGGGGCTACTATAAGATGGGTTCATAACTGGCTGGATAGCCGTTCTCAGAGAGTAATTATTAATGGTTCACAATCCTCCTGGAAAGGCATAACAAGTGGGGTTCTGCAGGGGTCTGTTTTGGGATCGGTTCTGTTTCAATATCTTCATCAATTATTTAAAAATCAGTAGAGAGAGTATACTTATTAAGTCTGCAGATGATACCAAGCTGGGAGGGGTTGCAACTGCTTTGGAGGACAGGGTCATAATTAAAAATGATCTGGACAATTTGGAGAAATGGTCTGAGGTAAACAGGATGAAGTTTAATAAGGACAAATGCACAATGCTCCCCTTAGGAAGGAACAATTAGTTTCACGCATACAGAATGGGAAGCGACTGTCTAGGAAGGAATACGGCAGAAAGGGATCTAGGGGTTATAGTGGACCACAAGTTGAATATGAGTCAACAGTGTGACACTTTTGCAAAAAAAGCAAACATGATTCTAGGACTCATTAAAAGGTGTGTTGTGAGCAAAACACGAGAAGTCATTCTTCCACTCTACTCTGCACTGGTTAGGCCTCAATTGGAGTATTGTGTCCAGTTCTGGGCACCACATTTCAAGAAAGATGTGGAGAAATTGGAGAAGGTCCAGAGAAGAGCAATGAGAATGATTAAAGGTCTAGAGAACATGACCTATGAAGGAAGCCTGAAAGAACTGGGCTTGTTTAGTTTGGAAAAGAGAAGACTGAGAGGGGACATGACAGCAGTTTTCAGGTATCTAAAAGCATGTAACAAGGAGGAGGGAGAAAAATTGTTCTGCCTGGCCTTTGAGGATAGAACAAAAAGCAATGGGCTTAAATTGCAGCAAGGGAGGTTTAGGTTGGACATTAGGAAAAAGTTCCTAACTGTCAGAGTGGTTTAACACTGGAATAAATTGCCTAGGGAGGTTGTGGAATCTCCATCTGTGGAGATATTTAAGAGTAGGTTAGATAAATATCTATCAGGGATGGTCTAGACAGTACTGAGTCCTGCCATGAGGGTAGGGGACTGCACTTAATGGCCTTTCAAGGTCCCTTTCTGTCCTAGTATTCCATGATTCTATGCCTGTGTAACAAGTAAAACATATTTCCATTCAAATTTGCCATCAAGGAGGTGAAAATAGTAGTAATATTTCATGCACAGCCACTGCTCCTCTAATAGACATCTAGTATCCAGTCCTTACTTTGTTTGCCCCATTCACCAGCACCAGAATTCCTAACTTTGCTAGGTGGTTTGGTCCTACTCTTGGTGTGCCGGTCATTTTTAACTTTCAAAAAAGGCTTTGTACTAGGTGTGAAGGACTGTAAATAGTATAAAGGCTGCTGAGGCATGGAAGCTAGTTAGAATATCCAGAACATAGAGCAGATCAGGATCAGATCTGAAGCCTGGGGAAGAGGAGGGGAACTCAACCTTTAGGTGGGTGTAAAGGTAGAAATGGTAATGAGGATAGGCGAAAGATTTGAAATCCCATTTTCTGATTTCCTAACAGACCACTCCATCAGAGACCTACTTTTTCAACATATCCTGGGCTCTGTGAATCCTGGACCAAAAACGGCAATGGTATTTAAGGGCAGAATATAAGAACACTGGCATTTGTGGAAATCTTCACAAAGCATGCCTACAATAGGCCTGGCTCAAGACAATGCTATTAACCTCCAAGTTTCATGACCAATTAAGTCACATATACAACAATCTCATTAACAAAGGCAATAAATCATAATGGGACTAAGATTTCACTCTTGCATCTGTGTTTCTGTTAATACTATTGTTCTATAAACAATAAACTACACCAGGGTTACTCAACTTTGGAAGCCCAGGAGCCACAATGATACTCATAGTACACATCAAGGGAGGCAACTTAAGTGTGGTTGCATATATGCACAAATATATATGTAAACAGCTTCTTTCACACAATGCCCTGACACCTCCTCCTTGGGGACTAGAAACGCCGACACCCTGTACCTGTCTGTTCCAGCTAGCCTGTCCGCTTGCATCTTTCAATTCTCACCCCACCTGGGAGATGCCTTGCCATGGAGGAGCATATGCCCAGTGGAGGCCATGTTCAAAGGATCCCACCTGTGAGCAGTGTGTTGAGTCCCGTGTGTCAAGTGCCATGTAAACCCAAACTGCACCGCAGGCCGCAAACAAATGGGCTGTGTGTTGAGTAGTCTGAATGACACCCAAACCTTGCATGGAAACACAACCTATTTCTTTGTGAATAGAATGGTTCTTGTTACAGCTTTGAATATAATTTTGAAGCATTTTATTAAAAACCATCACCTGTACTAAGTGTGTTGCATAGGAAAGAATACTAGAGGTTACCAAAAACAGTTTTTCTTTCTACAGACAGATTTCAAGGGAGAATAAAATACCTAGTAGCAATTATTATCTTAACAGTGTGAAACTGTCTCCACCTGCTGGAAAAACACCAACACAGCAGTCCCAAAGTACAAAGAAAAAGAAACAATATAGTTTCCCCAAAGTACCTATTTTCATACATTTAAATGAAAGAGATATAGATAAAACACAGAAAAAACTTTAGTGGAAAGCACAAATTATAGATTATTGTTCACATGTCCCAAAGATATTATGGAAGCCAAATTATTAAATTTAATTAACTTATCTATAACAAAGGCCTCAGTAATGTGATTAACTCATGAAAGGGGTGTATTTTGTTCTACAGTGGAGTGAAGAGAACTAAGAACACTATTCCTGCATTCAACAGTTATCGAGTGGTATTTCCTAAAAGTCTATAAAGTGGGTTGGAGACTTCACAGCAGACCTACACAGCTCATGGCATCATAGAATCATAGAATACTAGGACTGGAAGGGACCTCAAGAGGTCATCGAGTCCAGTCTCCCGCCCTTATGGCAGTACCAAATACTGTCTAGACCATCTCTGATAGATATTTATCTAACCTACTCTTAAATATCTCCACAGATGGAGATTCCACAACCTCCCTAGGCAATTTATTCCAGTGTTTGACCACCCTGACAGTTAAGAACTTTTTCCTAATGTCCAACCTAAATCTCCCTTGCTGCAGTTTAAGCCCATTGCTTCTTGTTTTATCTGCAGAGGCCAAGATGAACACGTTTTCTTCCTCCTTCTTATGACACCCTTTTACATATCTGAAAACTGCTATCATGTCCCCCCTCAATCTTCTCTTTTCTAAACTAAACAAACCCAATTCCTTCAGCCTTCCCTCTTAGGTCATGTTCTCTAGACCTTTAATCATTCGCGTTGCTCTTCTCTCGACCCTCTCCAATTTCTCCAAATCTTTCTTGAAATGCGGTGTTCGGAACTGAACACAATACTCCAATTGAGGCCTAACCAGTGCAGAGTAGAGCGGAAGAATGACTTCTCGTGTCTTGCTTACAACACACCTGTTAATGCGTTGCAGAATCATGTTTGCTTTCTTTTCAACAGCGTCACACTGCTGACTCATATTCAACTTGTGGTCCACTATAACCCCTAGATCCTTCCCATTCTGTATGTGTGAAACTGATTGTTCCTTCCTAAGTGGAGCACTTTGCATTTGTCTTTATTAAACTTCATCCTATTTATCTCAGACCATTTCTCCAATTTGTCCAGGTCATTTTGAATTATGACCCTATACTCCAGATTAATCGCAACCCCTCCCAGCTTCGTATCATCTGCAAACTTAATAAGTCTAGTTTCTATACCAATATCTAATTTTTTGATAAACATATTGAACAGAGCCGGTCCCAAAACAGACCCCTGCAGAATCCCACTTGTTATGCCTTTCCAGCAGGATTGTGAACCATTAATAAATACTCTCTGAGAACGGCTATCCAGCCAGTTATGCACCCATCTTATAGTAGCCCCATCTAAGTTGTATTTACCTAGTTTATTGATAAGAATATCACACGAGACCGTATCAAATGCCTTACACTAAATTCTAGGCATACCACAGCCACCGCTTCTCCCTTATCCACAAGACTCGTTATCCTATCAAAGAAAGCTATCAGATTGGTTTGACATGATTTGTTGTTTACAAATCCATGCTGGTTGTTCCCTATCACCTTGCCACTTTCCCAGTGTTTACAGATGATTTCCTTAGTTACTTTCTCCATTATCTTTCCTGGCACAGAAGTTAAACTAACTGGTCTGTAGTTTCCTGGATTGTTTTATTTCCCTTTTTATAGATGGGCACTATATTTGCCCTTTGCCAGTCCTCTGGAATCTCTCCTGTCTGCCATGATTTTCCAAAGATGATAGCTAGAGGCTCAGACCTCCTCTATCATATGGCTAGCATAAACTGAGTTCTCTGAAAAGTTTAGAGCTATAGAACACAACACTAATAAAGGCAATTAAGACGTAATATATTCAGGGATATAAGTTACAAAAATGCTAATAAGAAATTTACCTGGAATAAGCTCCATAACTATATAAATAGGCTGCCTTTGAGTGCAAACTCCTATTAACTTCACAATATTAGGATGGTCATACTGCTTCAGTATTCTGTATAGGGTACAAAAAAGTTTAATTACATTAGTATATTTCATTATGTAAGCCAACTTAAATAAGTATCAGGTGAAAACATCTTAAACCCGTAACATTATTTTAAAGCAAAATTTCCCTTATTATTATCCAAAATACAAACAAGTTGCTTATACTGCATAAAAAGTACTACAATCGTACCACTTGATGAGAAAAATAAAAATTAGTGACTACATTCGCTAGTTTACAAGTCAAGATCACCATAAGTATTCTCATAGTGGTCCCATCATTTGTCCGCATCATAAAAAAACTATATAATTTGGCATCACAAGGCGATCATACCTCATGAAGCCCAGAATTTAGCTAGAAGATCAGAACTAGGGAGTACTGGTACAGTGCTGTCAAAAACCTTGCAAAGCTTCTGTCTGCATTCAACCTCCAACTTACTTTCCTGAGTTTTAAATACAGTCAAAATAATTTGAACTGAACACAAATATTAAAGGATAACTATTCCAATCTAGGAAGCTAAAACAATAAAATTTGAATCTATTTGAGTAAGGCTATGATGACAACATCTACAGACAAAAGAATATGGCAGGAAGGCTAATGAGAATTCTAGCGAGACATCATAAATTTTGAAAGTTAGCTGCCTAGTGCTTTTTAACTTAAACCACTTCTTGTAAAAGAAAAATGGAAAGATTCAGTATGCTTGAATGCAATCTCAGTCAGAAATTTCATTTCAATATAAAACCATTTCTTGAGTTGGAGGCTGCTTAACAAGTGAAGCAATTCCCTGATAGCCATGCAGGCTATTAGCATGAAATCAAAACCATTTTCAAGGAATTATATAGTTGAGATACCCAATACAAGTAATTTGTATGGGCGTTTTCTATCTTTCTAAAACTCAATTATTTATCTAACATGAAACTATGTTAAACTCTAGAGCAAGGACAGCAAGATCATTTAAAACATTTTAAAATATTGTGGTACACTCCCTTACCCTTAGTATTTAAAAGACCATGTACTTATGTTATCATGTATCCGCTCACATACATGTGCTTACTAAGTTTTTCACCTCCTAATAATAGGGATGTTGGCTATCATATAATTGAATAGCTGTGTAATTGCATAAAATGTTAATGGTTACATGACTATCTGAATGTCCCTGGTGGCAGGAGTGGTAGTCAGTGCACTCTGGCCCCACTCCTGAGGAGTCCCCTGCCGCCCCTTGCAGCTGCCTTTGCATCAGATGCAGCAGCACAGAGTAGCAGAGGGAGCCAGTCTGCAAAGGGAACCAGTTTAAAAACCAGCTCCCCGCACAGACCAAAGGCCCTGTCTGCAGGAGATCCAATCCTGGACCCCACCACGAACAGGGGCTGCTGCCACAAAGCAGCCTTTGCCTGCAGGGAGCCCAAGTTTGCTGCTGAGAGAGGGTGCTCCACAGGATGCGGAGCAGCCTGTCTGCAGGAAGTTTGGACTCTCTGTGGACTGCCCGTGGAGGGTCCAGGCTAGGCTTATGGGTTAATCGTATAGTCAAGTACACATTGACATGCCTACCTAATAATATAATGGACATTCCAACCTCATTTCCCAGTCCTTCCAGATAGCCAGTTTCTTCCTAGAAAGATTAGTTAGTGAGGTTAATACTAACATCACCATGCCTTTATGACTACCATTACCGCTCTAAAGTCTTGCTTGAGTGTGTGATAAGGTCAGAATCTTGGTACAAGAAAAGCTCTTAACTAGGTGGCAATGGGCTTATTTATGATTGTTGGACTGGTGACTAAAGATTTCTGAAATCTTTACTTTTCAAAATTAAAAGAACCCTCCAGGATAAGCACATATCTAATTGCATTTAAAGAACTCACCTGGCCTCTGATAAAAATTTTATTTTCAGTTCCTGAGGAAGATCTTCTTTACAAGTTTTTACAGCAACAGGAGTTTTATCCTTTAATGTTCCCTTATATACTTCACCAAAATTACCCTGAAATTGTAAATATACATATTCATTGTGCTGAGTAAAGTCATTTTTAAGTTTTCAGAAAAATATTAATTATTGAAGAATCGATACGTTAGGTAATAAACTATTTTCATTGGGATCAATGTTTTAAAGATGCGCTTATAAAATCACATGCTAACTTCAAAGAAGGATTGCTTTGTTCCTTGCTCTAACATTCAGTCTGTAATACATTTTTATATTTGATACCTAACATTCAGCATTCGACAAGTAAGTTCTAATGTCACTTTTCTGAAAGCAGTAAAATACTTTTGAATAATCAAAGCAGAATTTTCTTCAAATTCTTCTTTTAGTCATTGGAATGACATTAACTTCTAAAAGGTGGATGACACATTGAAAATATTACTTGCTTCCTTTTCTTCTATACTAATCCCACATCTCTATATAAGAAAATGGAATGATTTTAAGTCCCTACTTTGGAATGTAGAATATTTTGTTACCTAATATGGTCTTTGATGGAGCATGATGTAGGCAACTGTACTAATTGCAGTATAACTGACTATTGCTATGAATAGTTCTCATCTGCGTAGTTTCATTATATATAAGCAAGGACGGGACAGGACAAAGGCTCTCCATATATAGGAAGATTTTACCCTCCCATTTTCAGAATTTTATATTCTACAGAAAGACAAGAATTTGAGGCCTCACATTTTGTCAAGTGGAAAAGCAACTCATTCTAAATTCAGGTTTCTGAGATTCCAAGCAAGAGCTTTTCAGTGAAAGATGTATTGATTTTATTGGCCTTCACTGCAGGATAATATGGATTAATTAGGCAGGAGGACAGTAGAATGAAGACAACTAACAAGTAATTTAAGCTACCATAAAGTTGCTGATTACTTAAATAATAACTATGATCAAGATAGGGGAAGCAATTAGTTCAAGACTGAAGGTGCAGCAAATCACAAGAAACTACGGCAGGCCCAAGGGTGCTCTCAATTTCTGCTTCTTTACTACTTAAGAAACTATGAAAAGGCTATACTCATGCAAAGGAGCAGACCAGGCACAAGAGCACATAACTAAAGGGCATATTTCTTTGATATTATTTCATCACATTTTTCTTTTGCCTATGCTCATTAATTTCTTTTCTTTTTTCCTCTAATAGCAGATATGGCTAAATCTTAAAACTATCACTGGTTTTATCTCTACACAAATCTCTTTCCTTATATGTGCTTGTGTTTGGAACACTACAACTTCAATAAGCATAGACAGAATTTGCAGGAAGTGCTTTCTTAGTTTCTCTGGGTGAATGAGGTTTTTTTAAATAATCACCACAGATGAACACACATACTAATCTGAAAAGCAAAAAAAGAGGAAAGAGATAAAACTCAGATAAATGATAGCAGTGCTGTTATAATTATATGGTTCTTCTATTCTAAATCCCTAATTACAAACATATAAGGTTGAAAAATAATCTTATATGAAAAATATGGACATATAAAATAATGTATTTAAAATATTCAAGTATACTCTTTATTCACTATATTGCCTTCAGGAAACTGACTTGTAGAATTGTGTCTTCTACTATCTCAAACCTCTATTGATTTGTATAAATGAAGATAAAAGTTCTAATTTTTAAAACTTGTAGGCTAAAACAGTTTCATGATTTTTTAAACCCTTTTTGAACATGTTAGCTGGTCAAGATGAACCAGGTTCATTATATAAAGTGCACTGCTAATCCTAGTTTAGACAAGCCCAAATGGTAAGAAACTGCTGGCTGGAACCAATAAGTTAGTGCGAAAGAAAGAAAAAAAAGGAGAGAAAGTTCTCTGAGGCTACATTTACACTGCACTGTTATTTCGGAATAAACTATTCTGGAATAGTTATTCCGAAATAGCTTATTTTGAAATAGCACGTCTACACTGCAGGGAAGCCTCAAAATTAGCCCGAGGCAGGCTTAATTTAGAATGGCCTCGGTGAGAGGCTATTTCGAAATGGCAGTAGTGGAGCATCTACATACACCTTATTTCAGAATAGGTATTTTTCTTCGTAGAATGAGGTTTATAGAAGTCAGAATAAGCCATCTTGTTATTTTGAAATTATTTCTAAAGAACAGAATTGCTATGTAGATGCATGCATAGTTATTTCAGAATAACAGCCGCTATTCCAAAATTACTTTGCTGTGTAGACGCTCCCTAAGTTCTCTATGAGCCCAAACGCGCTATTTCTACAGTGCTTCCAAGCAATGTTTTCCAAGGAATGAGATAGTAAATACTGACTTCAATACCATAAGATTTCTGAGCTGGCTGATAAAAATTATAAAAGAAAGTCTCACAGTGGAGAAAACTTGGAAGAATAGATTCAAGAAACAGCTTCTTTACTAGAGGAGCAAACAACAGACGCTTATGGGCTCAGAGCAAACTCTTTTTAAAAAACAGCTTGCACAATGGTCAGGAACAATATGAAAAGCTCGTATCAGAGAATGATTTCAATTAAAATGTGAGACAGCTTTCCACAACCAGAAGTCTTCCTTTTGGACTGTCTTCTACCCTAGATCTTTGTGCAGAAATCCCAATGATATCAGTAGTTCTACGTGCAAAATGAGGGTAGATTACGGCTCACTAAATATTCTAAGATTCTCCTGTTATTAATAACTGCAATGAGAAGTTCCAAGACATGCCTATGCTGGGAAAACTGTGGCACATTCACCGAAATTGAGTGCTTTTAATCATAATGCACAATCATTTTACTGCTTTACTACTTAAATGATGGTGTTTAATTTTAAGGAAGTTTTTGACAGAAAATGCTCTTAAAAGTCATTTATTTAGATATTGCTTTTATTGTTCAGAATGTTCCCTTTTAAATTTGAAAGTTATTTTTATTTTCCCATCAAGTTTGCAGTCACAACTCCAAACAGGGTTGCTAATTCAAATAAAGAGGCAAAACTAGAAACACTGAGCTGCAGCTGGTATTTAACATGTATTTTTCTTCAAGGTGATTCAAAACCATGATGTTTTGCAACCCATCTTGCATATACAGTGGCTCTCACAGAATGTAGTTTACACATGGCATTGCTTTTAGGGAACAAACAGAAACAGCCATTTTTAAAATTATCTGGCACTGCAGAGATGACTATTAATACAATTAAATTTACAAGGATCAAGGTACTACTTGATAATACACTTTGTAATTATATATGGTTGCGTTTTCTGGTTCTTTAATCAGGGATTCTTATCTCCTTTGAGAAATTAGTATCCAAACTTTAGGACAGATCATCTTTGAAACACAGCATTACTCCTATTCATTAAGAGCTGTAGATGATCATGTGTTTTGAAAACAAATGGAGCACAGTGTTTAAATTTATTCTATTCTTTGTGAAGAGAGGTCATAGGTGAGTGAACATAGAATCATAGGATGACAGAATAATAGAACTGGACAGGACCTCAAGAAATTACCAAGTTCAGCCCCCTGCCCTCATGGCAGGACCCTGCACTGTCTAGATCATCCCTGACAGGTGTCTGTCTAAATTGTTCTTAAATATCTCCTGTGATGGAGATTCTACAACCTTCCTAGGCAATTTATTCCAGTTTTTAACACCCTGACAGTTATGAAGTTTTTCCCTGATGTCCAACCTACACCTCACTGGCTGCAGCTGAAGCCCACTGCTTCTTGTCCGATCATCAGAGGCCAAGGAGAAGAATTTTTCTCCCTCCTCCTTTTAACACCCTTTCAGATAATTGAAAACTGCTATCTTGTCCCCTCTCCATCTTCTCCTTTCAAAATTAAACAAGCCCAGTTCCTTCAGCCTTGCCTCATAGCTCATGTTTTCTAGATCTTCAGTCATTTTTGTTGCTCTTCTCTGGACCTTCTCCAATTTCTCCACATCTTTCTTGAAATGCAGTACCAGAACTGGACACAACACTCCAATTGAACTAATCAGCACAGAGTAGAGCGGAAGAATGTCTTCTCACATCTTGCTCACAACACTCCTGTTAATGCATCGCAAAATCATAAGCAAGCTCCATTCATTCTGAGGCAGACACTACTTGCCCATTTGTTCTCAGTCTGTTCAATCTGCTGACCACTATTTAAAAACTTTTAATACATCGGCATGTGGTGGGATGGAACGTAACTGATTTGGACACATAACTTGACTAGTGTCTTCTAAGGAGTTGCTAGTACTACTCCACGAAACTGTAAACGGAAATGTCTGAATAGGTGAAGCAATCAGCAACTTCCTCCCTCTATTCATTTGTACAAAGCACAGCACTTTCTTAAAATACTTTGCCAAGGCAAGTTATAGTTACAGATGTATAGTTTTTAATGCAGAAGCAACCATTAGATCTTCTACTTTGAGTGCATATTCTCTAATGTGATATATGACATCGAGCGCTAGCAATGTCCCCCTGCCATGTATACTGGCTATACCAAACAAACAGTCTCTACTACAAAGGATACAGGGACATAAATCACACATCAGAAATGGTAACAGACATAAACCTCCTGCTTTTAACATCTGCATTTCATATCAAAAGATATGTACACAACACATCCAACCCACTGGACCTCATTAACAAGGGTCCTACAATTAACAGGGACTTCTTTTGCTGTTATTTCCACTCCAATTCATGTGATGAAGAGGGTTTGCCCATGAAAGCTCACGATTCTATGTATTTTGCTTAGTCTCTAAGGGTATGTCTACACTGCAGAGATATTTTGGGATAGAAATGCACCAGTTATTTCAAAATATTTTTCGAAATAACAGGCGCACTATTTTGCCATCCCTGTAAACCTCGTTGCACAAGGGTTAAGGGATGGCTCGAAAAAGACAGTTATTTAAAAATAGACTTGAAATAAGCTACGTATTACATATCTTATTTTAAGTTTCAGGTGCTGTGTAGACACACCCTAAGGTGCCACAATGGCTCTAGTTGTTTTTCAAGTTACAGACTAACATAGCTACGCCTCTGAGATTTTTTAACTTCTTTTACCTAATGTTGAAATGTATTACTTTTGTTCAAAGACTCACTCTGTCTTGGTCACCAACAGATAAGTAATGTATATTTGATTTTGTGACTGATGCCAGCAATGTGGTTTTTTTCCATGTTCTTCAGTAGAACTAGCATTATAAAGGTGTGGAATTTTGAGTGGACATAATTCTCTGCTTATTCATTGGCAGTTTGTGATTTTGCTTCCTTAGGCTGTCAAAGAGATTTTATCTTGTGCCAGCAGAATGCTTTGACAGAACTTTCCTTTCCTATTCTTTGAACAGTTCATTAATTCTTATAGTATAAGCAACACATATTTTATGCTAAGCCAACTGTCTTTATTTGTGTTTATGATTTAAACGACTTCTCAGATTTGGGGACATATTCTAGAGCATTAGAGGCAGTGTTGTACAGTAAATTAAACACAAGGCTGAGAGCTAGGAACATTAATTTCAATACTTATACTAACTCACCATGGGGTTTGGCATCACAGTTATGCCATGTAAAATGGGCTATAGGGCTAATTACTTCCTTAACTTATAGAAGTTTTAGAAAGATTAATATTTGTAAAAGACTTTGACAACATTATGTAAGCGTTAAGCATTATTTTGACTATATTGTGATGTTATCGTCACTACTATTCGACTTTCTTTCCAGTACTCAGTAGACCTTAAAACATTTTACTAGGTCCACATACAGAATCTTATTTTTACCAGCTCACCAATTTACGTGAACTTCTTTACTACTCTGCAGTAACATTCTCCACTGCTTGCATTTTTACAAAATATTTGATTTTTAAAAATCAATATACATATATGTAACTATATGAAATATACAAGATACTCTTAAAGCAATTACACCGATAAAAGATAAAAAATTATTATTTACAAGCAAATGCAGTGTACTTTTATGTATGCTGAAATTCAATGCTATTTGCTATGTGTTAAACCATATGAATTACTAAAGAAATGTTGTATACAGGAAAAATAAAAACTTCAAAAATAAGCGAAACTATAGACTTCACAATTAATAAATACTTAGAACTGGTAGGCTAAGTGTTTGTTTTTTTTTAAGTTAGCTCAGTTGATTACTTACTTTTCCCAGTAATTCTCCCAGTGTGACATCTTCATGATTGAGAACCCATTTCTTATCCTACAGCAAGGGGAGAAAAAAAACAGTTGTTTAGTCCATGCAAGAGTTCATTTTCTGTAAGATGCATCTGAGCTAGTAGAAAGAGACCTGAAGGAATATGTCATGCAAACCATTCATTCAGTCAACAGTATGCCAAGAAGTTATAACCTCAAGAGGCTGCAAAACAGATTTAAGAAATGTTGCTACACAATAGGATATTAAAATCTACATTATAGTAAATTTCTATCAAAAGATTAAGCCTTCAGCATATTATCTATGTAAATAGAGCACAACAGGCACTATTTTCACAAAGCTCAGTATCTGACAACTACTACTGCTGATTTTAAATATGACATTAGTCAAAGTAAGAGATAAGAATAAGGAGATTTCCTTTTGCAATACAATACAAAAAAATCCTAATTCTGACTTGATCCAACCAAATTGTTTCCCTCCCAGTACGTTGTCATAAGAACCAGTTTTTCTACAGATGAACTGGCCATGTGTTATCTTACTGTGTGCAGTTTCACATATTTCTCAAGTGTAGTTTAATAACATCTATTACAGTGTCAATATAGTACTGAAGACCAGTCATGCAAACATTCTGTTACAGATCGGCATATGTATTAAATGGCTGCAATAGCTTCTGGCTGCACTGGGACACATTTGGATTGGTACAAACACCTTTTGTTAAAACATTTTCAGGGCTGTATTAAAATGTATCGTCATGCAGAGGGATTATTTATGTTTATTTCTTTAGAGTCTTCCAGCATATAAGAGTCTAGGAACCTCACAAATACCATCAGCAACAATCTCTTATATGCACATATAAGACCATAATCACACTTATACCATGCATCTGTCCATTACAAATGAAATAAACCCAATCTCAATCAATTTATTGCCATCCCAATCAACCCCTTTTCTCCCTAAATCTCGGAGTTAAAGGAAACCTTTGTAGTGCAACTGATAAAATAGCACATCTAGCTTTAATGGACCAAGGAAAAGCAAATTCCAAATTAATGACCCTTTTTTCCTATTTCTTCCCTCCAACAGGGAGGTCAGGCTTGAGCAGCAGCACTAATCACAGCTGCAACAGACAAAGTAAGGTGGTCTCTCATGAAAATCAGTCTCAAAATATTCAGAGTTGTAAACATATTGACAGTGAGTGCAGATTACAGATTAGTGCTCATTTTTGTATTACACTGTTTAATAATCAAGTGGCTGCACTGAACATTAACTTCAGCTTTATAATGATCACACCACGTAACCAAGGTAGAACAATCTAATCTAGAGGTGACAGTAATATCAATAACTGATCAGAATTAAACTGAACTGACAAAGTTTTTCAGATTCTTTTTTTTCCTGATTTATTTAAAAGGCTCTTTTGTGCCACTAATTTTCACCTATAATTAAGAGCCACAAAGTATCATTTACCTTTTGCTAGTCATGAATTAACTTAGAACAAGTTCTGGTAAAACTTTTTTTTAAACAAGCTTACTCTTAGCCAAAATCCAAAACTGATCTAATTATGCTAAATTCAAGAATATACACTCTCTCTCTCTCTCTCTCTCTCTCTATGTATATATGACAATTTACAATGACCTTAGTAGACTTATTTAACATTTCAAAGTGTATACTTCCCTTAAATCTACTATATACTTGAGAGTTTTTCTGTGAGTTTGTCTGTTCAAGAACTCCTCCTAAACAGTAAGAGCAAGAACCACCAAATTCAAAACACAGCTTCCTCTTATAGTAACTTAAAGCAAAGTAAGAGTTTGGTTGTACCAGAAAAATGGTATTTGCTTGGAATGAGATTGCTCCTCAGAAAACCCACCCCCTTTGCCCACCAAGGCAGCAGCTGGGCATCCAACACGAGCCACCCAAGGGATGGACCTGGCTCCCGCATTAGGAAAGCAGGATAAAAGACCCTCTAGGAAAGTGGGATGGGTTCTGGAGAGGCCTAGGGGATATGGCCTCAGCATCTGGAGCACTTACAAAAAAGACTCAGAGGGTAACTGTATTAGTTTGTAACAAGTAGTCCTGTGGCACCTTAGAGACTACCAAATCTATAGGACCATGAATTCTCACGGGTAAAATGATGAAGCGGGTTTTACCCACGAAAGATCATAATGCTATATATTTGGTAGTCTTTAAGGTGCCACAGGACTATTCATTCATACAGAGAAGAGACAATCAGAAGTGAAAGAAGCTGGGTTGGGAGGAGAGGGCCCATCCAGGACTGTACCAGCTCAGAGTCTCTTAACAAACACTCTAGTTATCTTACCCATTACAAAGATAGCTTCCCCAATTATCACCTCTAATATCGTTAGCCCACAGACATTTACCTTCCCCCCCCTCCCCCTTCTGTTCTGATATTTGATTTGTCCTTTTTATATGTGTTCATTTTTTTAAATTGTATCCTTTGGTATATATGGTTGTGACTATTTTCTTTCACTATTTGATCTGAAGAAGTGGGTCTGGCCCATGAAAGCTCATCATCTAATAAATCATCTTGTTAGTCTTTAAAGTGCTACATAATCCTGTATTTTGCTTCATGCTCTAGGCACTCTTAAGGGCCTCCTCACTCTGGCTGAGAAACGGAAGGGGCAGACAAACCTGAACCATGCCCTCCCCCCTGCTAGATCTTTGCTAGCAGCCTCCCGGCTGCTGGCCCATCCTGCGCTATTGCACAATCGCCCCAATGGACAGTTAGGCACGTGCCAGCAGCCGTTCCCTTCATTCCTTTTCTGCACTGGACTGTGTTAGCCCAGAGAAAAGGGGAGGAGAGCGGTTGGGGAGTACCCATGGCGACATCTCGAAGAACACCAGTTACTGCACAAGGTGAGTAACCTTTCCTTCTTCTTCAAGAGTCTCTCTGGGTGCTCTACTTAGGTGACTACGCAGCAGTATTCCTGCTTCGCAGTGGGTGCTCTGTGCTGCAGGATTGGATGTTGGACAGTATGGTATGTCCAAAGCTAGTGTCTGAAAAGACTGAATAGCGAAATGTTGTGCAAAGGTATTGGCCGAAGCCCATGTTGCAACTCTACAAATGATGTCTATTGGAAGACTCTTGAGGAATGTAGTTGAATGCAGTTGTGGTAGATACTTGCTCTCGTGGACTGTGCCCGTATAACTGTTGGTGGCCATACGTGATTCTGGGAGTAATCAATTTGGATATTTGTTGTTTGGAAATAGGTTGACCTCTGGACCTATCTGTGCAAGACATGAATAGCCTGGGTGTTCTTTTGTGTGTTCTAAGTAAAAGGCTAATGCCCTGCATACATCATGTGTGTAGAGTGCTGCCTGTTTGCTGTCCTCGTGTGGTTTCGGGAAGAACACAGGTAGGTGTATCAGTTTATTATAATGGAATAAGGTAGGTATCTTGGGCAGGAATTTTGGGTGGGTTCTAAGGACAACCTTGCTCTTGTGGAATATAGTGTACGGTGGATCCGCCATGAGTGCTGCTATCTCTCTTAGCTGATGTTATTGCCATGAGAAAAGCTACTTTCATTGAGAGGTAGAGTAGTGAGCAAGTTGCAAGCGGTTTGAAAGATTGTCTCATGATTGAGTTGAGCACAAGGTTCAGATCCTATGATGGCACAGGCTCTACACGGTGAGTACAGATTCCGTACGCCTTTCCAAAATTTCTTAACACACGGGTGGGAGAAAACGAAACCCTTGTACAGGTGGGTGAATAGCTGATATAGCTGCTAAATGTACGTTGTAGAACTAAATTGATAGTCCTGTGTTCTGCAGGTGAAGGATATATTCCAATACACCTGATATCCCCGTTTTGTGAGGATCCCATGCGTGAGCTGAATTCCAGGCTGCAAATCTGGGCCACTGCTGCAGGTAAGTTCATCTCATAGTGGGCCTCCTGGAATTAATTAGTATGTCTCTGACTCTTCAAAACAGGGTTAGCTGTTTGCATGAGAGAGCCAACAAGCATCCAAGCTCCTAGATTCGGTGTATGTATCCCAGGGTGTGCTATGTGCCCCTTGTTCTGAGTCTATAAGGTATCAGGGAAAACCTGGATGGCTGATGTGTGCTGAGTTATAATATGGTAGGGTACCAGATTTGTCTCTGCAAGATGGGATCCACAAACATAACTCTTGCTGCCTCCTGTTTGATTTTTATTACCGTTTGGTGAATTGGAGGTATAGGTGGAAATCCCAGTATATTGCAAAGGCATCTCCTAGAGATCATGGTCCAATGCCCGCTCTGAAACACTACAAGGAACTCTTGGAGTTGATGTGCATTGCAAACAAGTCTACCACCAGGTATCCCCATCTACAGAACATGTTGGTTATGATGGATTTGTTAATTTCCCATTTGTGGTTCTGTGGGAATTGTCTGGTGAGGGCATCCGCTAGGACGCCATCCTTGCCCAGTAAGTGCATCGCAGTAGGTGTGACATTGTGTATAATGCACCATCACCATAGTTTCGTTGCTTCCGCACACAGGCTGCGTGATCTCTCTCTCCCTTGCTTGTTTATGTAATATGTCGTTGCAGCATTGTCCGACATTATTCTCACGTGTTTGTCTCATATGTGCAAAAGTAGCTGAGCACATGACCTCCTCACTGCTCTGAGTTCCAACACACTGATGTGAAGTTGGGACTCTTTGCATGTCCATTGTCCCTGTAATATCATGCTCCCATCCCCCTGGGCTCCCCATTGCAACAGGAACGCATCCATCGTGATAGTGACAGATGGAGGCAGTGTTTGGCATGGAAGCCCTATGCAGATGCTGTTTATGTCTGTCCACCAGTTTAGGGTGTCCTTGACCCATCTGAGTACATGGACTGTTTTGTGGAGTGGATGGTGCCTGGGACGGTACATGGAGTGTAGCCATGCCTGGAATGGATTTATATGTAATTGGGCACTGGGGACTATGAACATGGACACAGCATTTGCATGTGTATCCGTGCTGTGATGTGTATGCAACTCTGTATGGACATGATCAAATCGCGCATTCTTGACCACCTGTGGGTTGGCAGTGAGGCTATGCCCCGATTGCAG